GTCGAACGTGTTCAATTCAGTTCATCAAATAACGTCGAGACGCCTCGAACGGAAAGTGATTGAACGCTTTGGTGTTTGATTCAAGTTCGCTAGTGTACGACGCGACGCGAATACAGTGTGACGCGAGACGCGAGACTGCAAGTTGCAGTCGACCACAAGAGAGCTTGATATCATTTTGAAGCTCAAAAACTCTCTCTCTTGCGACCCGTCGGGTCAATTTGCCCATGCCTACCCCTAGCGAGAACAATGGAAACTTCAACCCAAACAAAAAACAAACATGTTGTACTCAAACATGTGTATATTAGGAGACATGACCGAAAATGTCAGCCGACTCAAACCAAAAACGAACATGACTCAGTAGAGTAGATCTGAGCAAAGAATCGGACTTCAGTATGTTTCAACAGTTTCAGTTCTCATATATTCGAACCTAACTTCTCGTTTGGTGAAAAAAATGAACGGTTTGGTTCGGTTTGACTAGGTGTGCTCAGCTGCGTTGAACAGAACGTAGGCCATGACACCCATTGTTGCCCACTAGTCGAATCAAATCGCTGAAGGTTCAACCTAAACGGTTGAGCTTGGAGGCATCTGGGTGCTGGGCTGCATCGAAACGAGCCCAAACCTTGAACTGCGATTATTTGGTCCCTACCGAATCTAGCACATGTAGTTTCGACTCTAGCCAAAGGAGGTTCGGGTACAAGAGAAAGAATAGAACCTACACCAATTTCAATCTGAGTCGAGCTGAATAGTTTGGTTCGACCAGTACTATGACCTGGTTTAACCGACCGGACTGGTTTGACTTCGGTTGCTTATGTCTCCTTACAGGTGTGTGAGCTTCCTGAGTTTTCCTAGATCATACAGAATTCGTCCTATAAACCCGTTGTAACCGAACGACCTGCAAAAGAAAAGCTCAGTACATGGGAACAAGATCGTATAACCTTCCAAAAACGAGAAGCGTTGTATGTTCCAATTCATTTTAATCAATGAGCTTGAGCCATTTCAAATCAGTCGAGGCAGCACATGCTCAAACAATTGATATACATCAACAAACCTACGTGCGTGTACATTTAAGTGTGCACACATCACATCGAATACATGTATGGATCTAGATACGTGTGTGAGCCTTACTGGTGTGGAATGTTGGACATTTGGCCAGAGCTGCTCCATAACTCACAGAAAGTTAAGATTGGTGAGGCTGGAAAAGGATGACGAGATGTTTCCTTGAAAGACATTGTAGGTGAAATCTCTGGATACACGAAAATTGGGATGTAGAAGTAGAAGGGATGTGAAAGGCACACACACACACACACGCACACACACACACGGGCAGGCACACACACATGTGAGCATGGCATGTAGGAGTCAATTTTTGATAGGCATCAGCACTGATTCTACCCAGGCCAATCCAGGGTAAGTACAGGCTCGGTGAGCACCCGACCCGAGCGGATATAGTCAACCTGTTACCACCGGGTCGGTACTGTCAATTCTCTGACCCATGCTGTGCAAACAGCCACGTGGGGTCAGGTTGACTGACCCGACAACTTTTGCAGTGTCCCGTAGTCGGCACACACATGCACGCACACACATGCACGTACTTAAGTTTGATTAGTAGCACCACGCAGAATGCAATGCAGCCCATTATTATAAGATGGGAAATGAAAAGAAGTGGAATACGCTGAACGAGTGAAACAAGTGGAGTGCGTGGAACGTGTAAGCTTTCTTTCTGACACTTAGCATCAGCAAGACACAAATATTAGAGTCTCACCATTTTGTCGACTCAAAAATCAACAATGCATGACAACTGCTGCATGTGGTGCTGCAACATATACGTGTTGGAGCTTTGACAGGCGAGAGATGGATGGCGGAATGGCCCCGACGAACAGATTGTAGCAGATGGACCTGCAGGCCAAATAGTGAAGAATGGGCTTAATTGTTTTAGCCTTAAAGCCCACTCCACTGTGGGATGAGTGAGTGAGTAGAGCAAAGTGCCCTGCATTGCACATAAATATATATATAAACATATATATGTATACATGTATTTAAAAAAACTTTTGCAGCACGCAATGCAACCATACTGCACGGTGGGACGAGAAATGGGTGGATGTTCAGAACGAAGAGAATCGCATGGATCGTGTGGAACCTGTACGTTTCCTTTTTAGACACTTTGTGTCTGCAAGACACAACACAAGTATTGGAGCTGTTTTATTAGTCAAATAATCAACATGCAACAACTGCTAAATGTGCTGCAATGCAACATACAAGTATTGGAGATTTGAGAGGCGAGAGATGGAGGGCAGAATGGCTCCATCAATCTGATTGTAACCGAGGGACCTGTAGGTCAAACCGTGAGGTTAAATAGTGAGGTCAAACGGTGAGGTTTAACAGTGAGGTCAAACAGTGAGGTCAAACAGTAAGGTCAGACAGTGAAGTCAAACAGTGAGGAGGTTCAAAGAGGTGGTTCAATCAAAGCACAACCCACTACTGGCTGTGCCGCTCACAAGAATGATGTGTGAGAGAGGTACCATTGCCTTATAAGTATTTACTGTTGCTGCCTTTTTTTCCCACCATGAGTGGCCATGCAAATACCAGTGCCTGACATGAGGGTGTTGTCGAAATAGTAGGTATAGTGAGAGGCCATAGCTAGGAGAACCCTAGCTAGGCAAGAGAGAATTGAACGAAAGAGAGGGAGTTGACTTCTTCCAGTCCGTTTATTCTGACATGGTATCAGAGCGGCTGCCTCACTCACAGAGCGACTACCACTACGGCCACCCCGACTGCTCAAACCGGCGTACCACTCACGAGCCTGCTGGAGCAGAAGAGGGCACGGCTGCTGCACCTGTCCACTACCAGAGGCTCCCGAACGACGCACGTCAGAGCGACTACCACGACTGCCACCCCGATAGCCCCAACTGGCGTACCACTCACGAGCCTGCTGGACCGTAGGAGGGCACGGCTGCTGCACCTGTCCACTACCAGGGGCTCCCGAACGACGCACGTCAGAGCGACTACCACTACGGCCACCTCGATAGCCCCAACTGGCGTACCACTCACGAGCCTGCTGGAGCGTGAGGGACTCACGCGCACGGTCCTGTGGCTGCATCTGGCCACGTCAGGAGCAGCAGGAGTAGCGGGAGTGGGAGTAGAAACGGCAGTAGTAGCAGTAGCAGCGGTAGCAGTGCTGGCAGGGCAATGCTCACCAGTGGTCGGCGTGGCAGGCGCAGTAGGAAGCTCCGCGGCAGCTGCTGCAGAGCTAGACCGGGCTACGACGGCAGTTGCTCCAGGGGCGGCTGCTGCAGGTGCGGGCGGCTCCAGGGGCGGCTGCTGCAGTGGCGGGCGGCTCCAGTGGCTGCTGCCGCAGTGGCGGGCGGCTGCAGGGGCTGCTGCTGCAGTGGCGGCGGCTCCAGGGGCTGCTACTGCAGTGGCGGCTGCTCCAGGGGCGAGAGGCGGATTAGGGTTAGGTGGCGACGGCGCGGGCAGGGCGACGCGGCGGGCAGGTGGCGACGCCGCGGGCAGGGCGACGGATTAGGGTTAGGTGGCGACGGCGCGGGCAGGTCGACGCGGCGGGCAGGTGGCGACGCCGCGGGCAGGTCGACGCGGCGAGGAGGTGGCGACGCCGCGTGCATGTGGCGACGGCGCGGGCAGGCGACGACTCCGCGGGCAGGTGGCGACGCCGCGACGACGCCGCGGGCAGGCGACGTCTCCGCGGGCAAGCGACAGCGCCGCGGGCAGGGATCGACGTCGCGGGCAGGCGGCTTCGACGCGGGCAGGCGACGACGCCGCGGAGAGGCGGCGACGCTGCGGGCAGAGCGACGCGGCGGCCGGCTAGGGCCTGCAGGGGCGGCGCGCGGTCGGGCAGAGGCTGCGCGCGGGCCTGACGGGTCTGCAGGGGCGGCTCTCGGGCCTGACGGGCCTGTAGCGGCGGCTCGGGGGCCTGACGGGCCTGCAGCGGCGACTCGGGTGCCTGACGTGCCTGTAGCGGCGGCTCAGGTGCCTGACAGGCCTGCAGCGACGGCTCGGTGGCCTGACGGACCTGCAGGGGCAGCTCGAGGGCGCACGAGGGCGCACGAGGGCGCACGAAGGCGCACAAGGAGAGAAAGGCGCACGAGGGCGCACGTAGGGTAGGGCGCACGAGGGCGCACGTAGGGTAGGGCGCACGAGGGCGCGTAGGCGCAAGAGGCGCACGGTAGGTAGGTAGGTAGGTAGGTAGGTAACGGTGGGCCCTAAGAACGGTCCTAGCGATGGACCTGCTCTGATACCATATCGAAATAGTAGGTATAGTGAGAGGCCATAGCTAGGAGAACCCTAGCTAGGCAAGAGAGAATTGAACGAATGAGAGGGAGTTGACTTCTTCCAGTCCGTTTATTCTGACAAGTGTATGTATACCACCAAGATAAACTCTTGCATGTGTTGTGCACCAACAATGTCCTTAATGGTAGGTCCTAACCTTAACACTTGAGGGTTTGATTCTCAGCGTCGCATCTGCATTTTGAATGGTGAATGGTGCACCACCAGGAGCGCTTGTACCAGTACCTGTACTACCTCATAGTTCTCTAGCGCTGCTGCCTTTCTTCCCGCACTGAAATAGCCACGCATGTACCAGTAACTACCACTGCCCGACTTACAGAGCTATGTGGCAAAAGATGCTGGGGCTGTCCTGCGTCCTGCGTCCGGACGCAGACGCAGGACGCGCGTCCGGACGCAAGACGCACGGGAGAAAAATTTTCGGGCAGACCGATTTTTTTTTTTTTTTCGCGAATTCGACCCCCCTAACCCATTTCGACCTACAAAACAGCCACCTAACCCCTTTCTAACCCCTTCATGCAAAATTGAGAATCCCAACCCACTCCACCACTCCACATCTAGAAAACCCAACCATTGTGGCCAACCACCACCACCAAGCCCATTTAGTGCTAGAAACAACTCATTTGTGCTCACTCTTTGTAGCAACTCAATTCTCTTTCGTAAACCCTAGTGGTTTAAGCTCCTTTGCGCGCACGTCCGTTATGGCTAGCTCTACCAATCCCTCGTCTTCCACCGCATCGAAAGATGTCAATCCCGACGGCGATTCTCCCCCCAAGCGTTTCACTAAGGATGGGGTGGAGAAGAAACCGCAAAACCCTAATCACCGTATTTATAGGGATTTTTGGACATTCGACGATCCGACCAAGAAGGGGAAGCAGTACGAATGCCTTTGGTGCGGGAAAACGTTCGCCTTTAGTAGTAGCCGATGCACCCAGCATATCGCCGTATGGAACGACGCGAACGTGCGGCGCGAGGCCGGGATTATTTGTGCGGATGTTCCTAAGCGCATTTCTGACGCCATTCGCGACGTGAAGGAGACCAAGATTACGGTGCGCAAAGACAAGGAGAGGGCAATGGATGCGGCGCTCACTGTAGTGAGCGGCCAAGGCGGAGCGGGACCGAAGGCTAAGAAGGGGCGGATGGAGGATTGGTATGGCGAGGGGGGGATTTCGGCGAGGCGTGCGGCCGACGAGGCAGTTTGCCTCTCCTTCGCGGGGACGCGCACGGCGGAGCGTCAGTGCGAGCACCGCCTCTTCCTCAATATGTTGCGCGCCGTTGCTGCCGCTGGAAGTAGCTACGTCCCCCCCAAAAATAGCTACGTTGGCGGCGTCAGGCTGCAGGAGTGCAAGCGGCGGATTGGGGCGGGATTGGAGCCCATTACGAAGACTTGGAAAGAGATCGGCGTGACGATTGCCAACGACATGATGAGGGATAAGAGCGGGCGCGCGCAGATGAACATCATTTGTATCAACGACACGCGCAGATGAACATCATTTGTATCAACGACAGCGATGCGGTTTTCCAGGAAGCGGTCGACTATAAGGCGGAGACAAAGAGTGGGGCGTTCATCGTTGGCATCGTGCAGCCGATCATCGAGAAGATTGGGCCGCAGCACGTCGTCGCGCTTTGCACGGACGGCGGCAGCAACTACGTGTCCACCGGCAAGCTGCTGCACAAGATGTACCCGCATCTCAAGATCGTCCCCTGCGCCACTCATGTGCTCGACTTGCTGATGGAGGACATCGGCAAGATGGATTGGGCGCAAGAGGTCGTCCCAGTTGCGAACGACATCATCTCGTTCGTGCACAGCCACACGTGGACGCGTGCCTTCCTGTGATGTCCCGAGCTGCACGGCAAGGAGAAGTCGCTGCAGCCGCTGCGACCGGTGGGCACGCTGTACATCGCTGTGTCTCAGCTGCTCCAGATCCGTTCGCAGCTGACACAGATGGTGGTGCACAAGGACTGGGAGGAGAAGGGAGGTAGCACACTGACTGGAAAGACATTTGCGGCATCGGTGTTGGATGTGGATTGGTGGAAGAAGGCGGAGACATTTGTGAAGGTGATGGAGCTGCCGTACAAGGTGATGAGGCGGACTGATGGGGAGGCGAAGGGGAGGATGGGTGAGTTGTACGACATCATGCTGCAGCTGACAGAGGACTCGAGGGAGCTGTTGGAGAGCGAGGATTCTGGGCTCAAGAAGGCGGATAAAGAGGGGGTGAAGGAGCACTTGAGGCGGCGTTGGGACGAGAGTTTGGCCTGCCCCCTTCACGTGGTTGGCCGGATTCTGAACCCGACGAACCAAGAAGAGGGGATTTACTACAAGGACCTTGAGTGCACCAGAGTGATGAAGGCGTGACTCTCACGCTCGAGGGCATTCGTCGACAAATACTGGAAGAACGGCGGCGACACGAAGGGAACGGTGAAGGCGCTGCAGGAGGGGATGCTGGCATATATTGAGGGCAAGGGGTGCTTCGGGTCAGAGGAGGCGATAGAGGGGCGTGCGGATATTAAGACCGGGAAGGGGGACATGGTGACGTGGTGGAAGGTGAACGGCTGGGAGTACGCCGACCTGGCTGGATTTGCGTGCCGGGCGCTTTCACAGCCCGTTTCCGCTTCCCTGTGCGAGCGGGGATGGTCTGTGTGGGATGGCGTGCACACGGCACGCAGGGCCCGTTTCCGTTTCCGCGACCTTGTATACGTTGCGCACAGCTGGAACGTTGTGCACAACCACCACAAGGGTGCGGCTGGTGCAGGGCCAAGTGGGGAAGTCAGGAAGGCAGGGATAGTGGAGGGGAACATTCCCACCCCTCCCCTTCCCGAGAGGTACAGGCTGGAGGAGGATGGAGAGGTGGAGGTGGACGAGGACGACGTGTGCGTCGACGAGTACAAGGACCAGGAAGACATGGAGAAGGAGGAGGAGGAGAAGGAGAAGGAGAGCGAGGAGGATGAGGATGAGTGATGCATGTTAGTGTTAGTATGCATGTTAAACCATGATTGGATTATCCGTGAACTTGAAAATTTTGCAACTCACCATCATGCTATAGTGTTTTGGGGGAAATTTTGTCTTTGGCCAAATTTAGGCAATGAAAGTGGGCTACGGTCCCCCCCCCCCCCCCCCCCCCCCCCCCCACTTCCCTCTGCCCTATAACATTTTTTTGGGCTGCCCGGGGGTTTTTTTGCCCTGCCCGGGCTTGCGTCTTTTGCTGCGTCTCAAAGGCCTGCATTATGCGTCCTGCGTCCTGGACGCTGCGTCTGGACGCATGCGTCCAAGACGCAGGACGCGTCTTCTGCCACACAGTTACAGAGGTTGTGGTTGTTCATGATATTCAATAACCAACTAGTTGACGACGCACGTGACACGCACATACCACCATGACCTGCTGCTTACATGAATGTGAGACTGTAGAGCGAATAGAGGCTTGCAGGAAGCGTGCCTGAGAGCATGTTGAAAGTGAGGTTGCTGCTTGTGGGGGGACAAGTTTCAGCAAGATGTAGTTTGACACAAGATGGAACACACATTTCAGTCACACTCACGGAACATACTGTTGAAAAAATCATGTTGAGATAGAGAAAATGCCCTCGAGATAGAGAGAATTGATTCTCAGATTGATGCGCAAGATTGCTAAGATTCTTCAAAACTCTCCCTACACTCCCTTCCTCTACCCTTTCCTCACGGTGTCAGGATTAGGGAGGAGCAGACAATGCTGACAGGGATGGGATTGGACACATGTGGTTGGTACCACACGTGGTACACCATACACATGTGGTCGGTACCACATGTGGTACACCATACACATGTGGTTGGTACCACACATGGTAAACCATACACATGTGGTTGGTACCACACGTGGTACACCATACACGTACACCATACACATGTGGTTGGTACCACACATGGTACACCATACACATGTGGTTGGTACCACACGTGGTTCACCATACACATGTGGTTGGTACAACACGTGGTACACCATGCACATGTGGTTGCACGTGTTACACCATACGCTGGCCAATGCTGGTGGGAGGGTGTCAGAAACCATACCGTTTTGCACCACACCCTTTTGCACCACAATGCTTTGAACCAAACCCTGCCTTTACCCTTACTTCTGTCCCTCACAACCTGAACAGGTGTTAGATACCATACCACTTTGTACCACACCCTGCCCATTTCTTTCCCCCCTCTTTCCCTTTCCTTCCCGTCCCTCACCGCTTCTGCATGCGGAGATAACTCGTACAACGGGAGCTAGACTACGAGTAAGGCACGGTTGTGAGGGTGATCTCTGCGTTCCTTAGTCGTTTGCTTGTGTTCACTCTACGTGCACATTCACGAGGGAATTTGGCAAGAGTTCACTAGCAAAGGTTAACAACAATGGTTCAGAATGATAGCAACAACATTGGCAAGAGAGACTACATCAGAGCTAGCAAGCATGCAGGTCGACCTCCAGCGCAGCATGGTCGACCGCGATCCAGCGTTGCAAAGCTCGCACCGCTCCAGCGCAGCAGAGAAGCGGCTTGCCAACGCTGCAAGTCCACGGTGTGCCAATGATGCATCAAGGTGGCTGCATAGCGTTGCACCCGCTTCGCAGGTGCGCACGGATGGTTGGCGTGCCACGCCCCGTCACGAGCGCAGCGCAGACGCCAGGCCGAGAACTCGCCAGCGACTGCGCCCACCAGCCACGTCGACCTCGGGATACCACCTCCGAGGTCGGCTTTGCCAAGAACACCAGGGCGACTGTAGCGCTCCTCCGCTAAACCCCGTCGCCCGAGTAACCTGGTCGACTGGGCAACCTGGTCAACCAGCTGCTTCTCCTCGTGCCCGTCGACCACCCAGGTCGACGACCACGATGGGTCGACCACACCAGGTCGGCCACACCCCTGGTCGACCAGCCCCAGTTCGACCAGCCAGCTGTTCGCCGACCACACCACGTCAGCTTCCCCAGGTTGGCGTCACCAAGTCGACGCCGGGAAGTCGGCGCCTCTGAGGTCGACCTCGCAAGGTCGACCACCAGCACATCGGCGCCCTTCAGTCGGGCGCCCTCCAGCTCCTCTGTCCAGGTCGACGTCGGCGCCTTCCTTCGTCGACCACGGCCGCCGGCCTCCCATCGTCGGCGGCTTCGCAGTGGCCCCGTGCAGGTCGACCACCTCCGTCGACCAGCCCACCAAATCGGCGTCGCCCACTGCTGCAGGTCGGCTGCACCTCCCGCACATCCGACCACGAAGTCGGCTCCGCCCAAGCGAGGACGGGGCCAACAACAACTCCCGTTGACACTCCCCTACCGCGTTCATGCTCCACCCCACGCGGCAGCACTACATGGAGAATAGCTCGTCGTCGGCGGCGTGCACACAATACAGCACGCCGTCACCGCACCAGCCGTGCAAAAGGGCACGGCACCTACTGCTGCACGTTGTCGTCACCGTCGTCGATGTCGGCCAGTCGCACCTGGCCGATTGCGACGGAGCACCGGTTGAAGGCCAGATAGTGCAGCGTCTTCATCAGGAAGTCGGCTGGCTGCTCGGTGGTCGGGATGTACTTCTACGTGAACTTCCCGCGCTTCACCATATGCTGCAGCCAGGCGTATCGCCACTCCATGTGCTTGAGGTTGCCATGCAGCCCCAGGCCCTCGGCGACCGTGATGGCCAACTTGTTGTCCATCCGCAAGACAGTCGGCTTCCCGGCGTCCAGCAGCTGGAATGCTCCAAGGTGGAAACAAAGTCAGCGTCCCTCCTTGCCGGCCTTGGTAAACGGCTGCCACGTACTCCGACTCGGTCGACGACAATGTCGCGCACTTGATGCGCTGGCTCGACCAGGAGATCGCGACCCCTCCGTAGACGAACACGTAGCCACCCGTGCTCGTCCGGTTCTGCAGGTCGGCGTCGTCCTCGGCGTCGTCGTACAGCAGGTGATCGTCGTCGTTGTCGTACAACGTGGTGAAGGCGGCTGGCGGGAGGTAGATGTGGTAGGTTAGCCGCTCAGGCGGCCTCCGGGCTCGGCCTGAACGTCGTAGTTCAGACTGCTCAGGGTTGAACTCCACTACTTCACTGTCGGTGGACTGCCCGGCGTTCGACTACTCCCCTGCATCGATGCCGGCTCCACTGCCCTCACCTGCCAGCTGCACCAAAGTCGGCGTCCCTGCCGACTTTTTCCCTATCATCAGCTCCTTGGCCGACTTCTCCGTTGCCGACAGCTCCCCTGCCGGCTTCATTGTCCGCAACTCCCCTGTCAGCGGCTTCCCTGCAGGCGCCTCCTTCGCCGACTTCGCTGTGGTCGGCGTCACCCCCACCACCTGCTGATCCTATGCCTTCATCGGTTCTGCTTCCACGCCGACTTGCTTGACGCCACGTCGGCCACCAACGATGCCCTTGGCCGGCGCCCTAGGCGACGCCCCACTGCTCCCCTCATCGCCGGAGGCCGACGTCGGTGTCAGCTCACGCAGGGCGGTGACAGGGAGTGGGACAGAAGGAGTCGTGGAAGGGGTGGGAAGGATGACATCCTCGGCGTCCTCATCAGCAGGCTAAAGCGCCGACATCGGCAAGCAGAGGGAGAGTCGCCGTGGAGGTGTCTGTCGACGGGTTGGCCTGCGTCAGCCCTGACGTTGGCCTGTGCTGCGACTTTCACACCTCCAGCGATAGCGTCTCGTAGAACACCACGTCCGACGTGGTGACCATCTTGTTGTCGGTGATCTGAAGGAGCTCCCAGCCCTTGCTCTCCTCCGACACGCCGAGGTGAAGGCCCCACCAGGCCTTCGGCTGCAACTTACCACCACGCTGCTGCTCGGGGACCAGGAACTGTGTCATGCGGCCCCACACACGAGCCAGCGACAGGTCGAGCTTCTTGTCAGTCAGCAGCTGGTACGGCGTCGTACCCAGCAGCAGCGTCGACCTCTCCAGGCAGTTTCGCACCCAAACCGCTTGCTGCATGGCGAGGTGCCACCAGTGGTGCTGCACGCCCATGTGCAGCAGCATCGTCCGCACCGACTCCACCACCGTTCGCATCTCCCGCTCTGCCATGCCATTCTGCTGCGGGGTGTACGGGCAGGTCAAGTCGTGGACGATCCCCTTGCCGTCCACGAAGGTGGTGAACTCCTTCCCGAGGAACTCCCCTCCCCGGTCAGAGCGCAGCATCAGCACCGACTTCTTCGTCTGCCGCTCAACCATCACCAGCAACTTCGCAAACTCCCTCAACACGTCGGACTTCTTGCCGAATGGCCTCACCCACACGTAGCGGGTCTTGCGGTCCTTCAGCAGCAGGAAATATAGGCTGCCATCTTTGGCAGCCACATGAAACGACCCGCACAGGTCGATGTGCACAACGGTCAGGGCGTCATCGGCGTCGGAGCCCTTGTCGGAGAAGATGTG